CAAAACTAAAAAGATTGGACACGTTTAGAAGAAATAAAAGGTTACTCTCTATCAAAGAAGATTGTATTTTCATTGTCGTGTTAGATTTTCTTAGGTATGAAGGACGCCGGCGAGAGGTTGCGACCGAATTTCAATTTGGTGGAATCTTTTATGTTTTTATTGAAAAATTAGAATAAGCATTCCCTGGTAAGTGAAAAGGATGTTTTCAATGTTTTGATGGATGTTCTTTTCGCTTCCTATAATGACATTTAATGCAGCTATCACTTATGTGCTGAAATATCTTACGCAACTTCCCCATAACTATAACCAAGTGTATAGAGGTAACATAACTTATACACAAAACCCGAAAGCATTATCTGACTAATTCAAATTCGATATTCATGTACCAATATTCCTTTAATTCAACAAAATGTATAGATATTTCTAGCTCCGAAGTTGTGGAGAAGGAAGAGCAATTCGATTGGAATGAATTCAGAAGATGAAATACAGCTGGAATGTGGCACTTCCTAATACTAATGCCTCCAGGAGTTGGAACATCTTGTAAAGTTACAAATTATCTTCTTTAACATGGTTTTAACATTCCCAAAAGATGGAAGTTAATTAAATATCTTCATTAGTGTTTTTTTTCTCTATAATTGATTGGTAGAACTAGAACATTAATAGCTTCATTATCTACACAAATTCATTGTGTAGACATTTTGGAGGGTGTTTTTGACACATAAAGACCTCGTCGACCCATCAAGAGTTGAAGGAAATGGACCGACACTATATATAAACTTATGTACCATTTGGAGGTGCACCAAGAATTTGTCTTGGAAGAGGATGTGCTTGAATGCAGAAGCTTGTGTTTATATTTAATGTGATCACCAAATTTAAGCTGGAATTACTTGATCCCAACGAGGAGGTTAAGTATCATATCATCCATTTCATTGAACATGGTCTTCCAATTCGGCTCCTACCACAACCATTAAGAAACTAGCTAAATAGGTTTAGCTATAGCTAGCAGTTAATGCCAGCAAAATTGGGCTGCAAAACAACTTTGTATGATGTAGCTAGGGATTAATTAATATCTTCCGAAACTCGTTGAAACTTGTATATGTCTAAACTCGTAGTTTATCTATGTGTTATCAGACATTTTACCATGTCAGAGTAATTAACCTACATCATTCTCTTACTATGAAATTTTAATGTATTTCTCTCTTTATGTAGTTTAAATAGTCTACTTTTTTTAGAACTAAAATAATATATATGACAAGCGATTACAACTTTCCTTTTTTTTGGTGGTGAAATAGATAAAAACTGGTTAAGACAATGAATGAATATTATATTATGATCGAAGCTTTTTGTTTCAAAAATAATTATTTGAAGCTTGTATTTTCTAATTCTTGCATACTCCCTCCGGTCCTTATTATATGGTATTTTAATGAATTCTAAATTTCATTTAGTATGTTGTTCTAATTAAAAACAAAACCTTAAAATGCATTATCACATTTATTTTGTTCTTCCAATTTTTATAAAATATTTTTATTACTTTATTTTTAATGGAAGAACATTCTAAATGAAATTAAGACATATAAAAATATCTTATAAAGGACTGTGGGGAGCACCTGCTAAGGCAGACATTCACTCACCAAACAACCACGTATGATCGACACTAAACAATCTTGTTAGCTTAAGTATCATATCTACACAGATGATAGGTTGGGAACATGCCGCATTGGGTGATGTTACTCAATGTGCTTTGTTTAGTATGGATTTTTTAGAGAATAAAGTGTTTGCAAATTATACTATTGAAAGCTCACATTTCTTTTGTCTAGGTTGATTCCTATTTATGGTATAGATTTACTACTTTGATATTAAGAATTCTAGTCATATTAGGTGGTTTTTAACCGATGTGGAATTTGGGTCGGTCTAGATATGGGCCTATAAGTTACAACTCATCTCTATCATGTGCATTTTTATAGTCTCATAACATTATTATGTGCAGTAGACGAGTTTTGCAAGGAATATTTATACACCAATTACTGAATGTGCTTTTACTATCATGGATACATGTATATATGTTGAAGTAAAGTTTACATCTTGCAAATGCCATCATTATTCAGATATTTCGACATATCAACATAACATTCAGTAGTCTTAGGTACCATTATTTAGTAGGATCTGTAGGGAGGGCCTTGATAAAATCATAAAATCAACAAGCAAACATCAAGGAAAAGGTTTCCAAATGAATAGTAAAATGAATTTAGGAGCTAACAATACTTCCCTTCATAGTACGTTCACTTTTAGGCCATGAATTTTACAGATTCAAATCTTCAATACATAACGAAAACAAATGAACACTAAAATTAATTTCTTTCATATTTCTTCATCATTCGAAACAAGCAGGCAGGCTCCAGCACCCTTTCTCACTACACCAATCTGCATATAATGTGAAACGCTCTGTATTAGTATTTAATTAATTACTAAACATGCCAATGGCAACTTGATGTATTGGAAACTTTAGATTATATATATTCTATCCATCCCAAATTAAGAACCATTTTCTTTTTACTGTTTAAATTTAATAAACTTTTCTTAACCTTTGAGAAAAAAAAAGTAATATTGTCTTTAGAAAATAATTAATTCGCTTATCAATCAGATATTGATGTGATGGGCCATAAGCTTACCTTCACTTTTTAGATAGTTTGATTTTGAGTTTGGGTTCAACAGTAGCAGTTGGCCATTTTCTTTTCTTCAAGGCAGCTTCAAGAATGCAACACTCACAATAGCTATCATGCCAATTAATGGTTGTTGTTTCATCACCAATGAAGGGTAGATTGGCTTCCAATTTCACCATTTTGGATGCTTCTCCCAGCTAATAAAATGGGTAAAAGAGAATAATGCATATTTAATAGGAATTAAAGCTAGATTTTTCATGTTATCAGCTAATAAAATGGGTAAAATAGTTTTTAACATTAGAGTCATTTAGTTCGATTAAAACCATAATATTTTTCTTGATTATTTTTCTATAATGTTACCCCGTATAATTTCAATTCTTTTTTTTGGGAGAAAATTGTCGCATTAAAACACCGCACGTCATCAAAATTGTATCTTCCTATTATATACGAATGACGTCACGTGGTTTAAATTGTTAATGACATTACAAATAAAAAAAAATTAGGATTTCTTAGGCTAGAGAGCAAATTTCAAGTCCCCACTGGGGTTAGTAAAAATGTATGTTTCAATTCATGATTATGGGTTTCAAATTGCTTGCAATAAAAATATAATTTTTTTCTTTTTTAGGCAAAATGGTAGATTTTAACTAGGGTTATGAATATTATAACCTGTAGCAATAATAGGAATTATTTTTTCCATTTAATTTCAAGGTATGAAATTAGTAAGTGCATTCAAGAATAATATGTTATAAACATTAATAATGCATATTTAATAGGAATTAAAGCTAGATTTTTCATTAGCTGGAGTTTTTTTTCATTAGTTTTTTTTAACCAAAACTGGTATCATATTTTTGGAGGAAAACAAAGCACAAGAGCGTGACACATCAACAAAAATTCTAACTTGGACAGTTGTTATAATAGGATATCTGTTGATTTAACAATATAACACAAGTGCATTAATTAATTACCTCTTGTGAATATATAAAATCTTCTTCCTCCAAAATAGGGATTCCAATTCCATGATCCTCCTTTCCCCCATCAGTAGCTAGTTCAATGTCCGTACCTAAATTAGCTATGAGAAAATTAAATTTGAAAGGCCACAGAACTGTAACTATGCTCAATTGAAAGCGTGTGAGATATAAAACAAGTACTAATATGTATAGTCAAATCATGTTGTAGATCAACAAATTACAAGATCTAACCTTCAATTGTTTTGGGTTTAAGCTCATTATCATCATGAGAAGTAGTTCCAAAAATCCCGTCAGTCTGATCATTGAAATTCAATATTAAAAAATGAATATATGTAGACCAAAGAAGAATTCACTTATAAGATAAAAATAATAATAATTTCACATACAATTAATTTAAGGGGTTTCCTACCAAATCTGAAAACATATAACACGGTTTAAGTGATTACCTTAGGATTTGTGAGGGACAAGAGTTCTTCGACTGTATATTGAGAATAAGGTTCTGGATTTCCATTCACATCAAACTCATCAACTACTATTTCTTTACTTTCATCGTCATAATTGTTCCCTTTCGCCTCACCATGCACCTACATTTTGCATTTTAAATCAAAATTACTCAGTGAAATTACATTTAAAACTAGAGGATTTCGTAAGATGGAAAAAAAAACTTGCATGCATAGAGAATGAGTATAGTTTCACACATGAATTGAGAAATTTGAGAATGAATTCAAATGAATTACACCAAAAGTTGGAGAATCCTTCTTATCCATATTATTGATAATAACGAGTGCAACCTGAGGATAAGGAACTAACTATGGAAGAAGAGCTATGAAAGAGTGGGATGGGTAACTCTTTAAAAATTAATTGTGTACAGTTGTCATAAAAGATGATTGACGGTGCATTGTTGTCGAGTGTATGAGAGAGAGGAAACACGTGTCAGTGGCTGAACATTAAATTGCATGCATCCTTTCTTTTCCATTTCTTAAATTACATATTTGGTGTCCAAAATTAGTGTCCTGACTCATTTAGATTTGAAATATAGACCTTGACTGGAAGACAACGCGCTCTCTACCAATACAATTTTAATCACTTTTGCGTACCCATTCTTGGTTTGGAACGTAGGTCATGAGATTCGCCATCTCTTATTTTTGTCAATTTTTAAGCTTTGTTACGCGGTGTAAGCAAGTACCAATGATGTAAGCTAGCTAAGCTGTTGATATATCCCAATCCCATCCTCTTACTATCCGAAACTCTAATTTTCTAAAATTCGCTTTTGATTTTAATCACCAAAGCCAAATCTAGGAAACCCATTTTTCAGTAACTTTTTTGCTTTCAATTCCATAATTCTCACAAACTAAAACCAATAAAAAATCAAATGGTTAGAGGTGGAAAGCTCACCAAATTTAAATTACATCTGAAAAAACTTTTGCAGTTTTTCAACCATGGAAGGACTCCTAAGCTTAGCTCAATTGTGGCTGCCACCAATAACTCTAAAGATGATTCCATCGCCAACTCCATTGCTATTAGAGCAGGCTTGCATCCTGTCTATGTCAGTCAGTCTCGTTGCCGATATCTTCTCCCATCTGAAGTCACTGAGAACCCACTTTTCAAGGAGCTTGTGGACCGTTTCTCAAATGACTGCAACCAGTGCATTACAATTGGATGTGGGGTTGTATTTTTCGATCATTTCCTTTGGATGCTCGAGAATGTTGATCCTTTGACGGAGCCTTTGGATGATATAGTGGACCTTTATGCATTATTTTAAAAAGCTTTCAATGGTCATTGATGGTGGTGTAGGAGATAATTGTTTGTCTGTATCAAGGTGAAAAAAAAGAAAAGTACAAAATTACAAAATGGGTTTCCATCCTTAAACTTGACGAATTGAATAATCAATTGTTGTCCTTAAACTTTCTAATTCTCAGTGTTTCAGTCTTTTCGTTACAATGATAAATCATCAGTCATCTACATTTACACAGAACTAGTTGGTTATTAAGTAAAAAGAAAAATGATTGTTTCATCTAAATGACATAATAAAATTCAAGTAGAAAAGAGGGGTTTGAAAGAAAAAGAATATAGTTACTCAAGAACCCAATCTGACATCATTTGTATTAAGCAAGGAGCATTCTATGTGCCACAATAGTTTCTAATATATACTAGATATGGTTTGAGAGAAACAAAAGGAAGTTTTGTTTGAAACTAAAGCCTCCAGCATTGCACATTGAATAGATAATTCAAGAAGAGGAGAGTCTAGTTTAATGATAGAAAAGCTAGTAGTCTCGAAATCTGTAGTATAGAAAAGTTAGAGTCTTAACTAGTTCATATTATGGATCGACAGCATTTATCCATTATAAAAATTGAACATGGCTTTCATATCGCCCTGCGATTACATTCTAATATTTTTTTGTTGTGTCTGTGTGTGAATGAAAAATGACGTTCATTTAATTTATTGAAAAAATTATTCCACATGAATTGATGAAAATATGGTGTCATTGAATATTTTCTCTCCAAACACTTCTTATGTGTTATGTGCAAAGTGAACTATATGCTCCCTATATTCCAAAAGATAGTGCAGTTTATTATACTGATTTAACTCAGCAATATTTATCATGTCTACCAGCAAGCCTTTTTCAAAGTTTGACAAAATATACAACTTATTTATGTAACAACCTATAACAAATAAAATAACTTTAAAGACATCTTGATGCAAAATAATAAAAGCAATATGAAGCCGTGTTCGTTAGAAAGAAAGATATTCAATTTACGAACAATAATTTTCATGTGCTAGGCTAGAATATATTATTATTGCCAAAATAACTAATGAAAAAAATGTGTCCTGCATATGAAAGAGCAATAAATATTTGATATCCATGAGTAATAAAAAGAGATAGCTAAATATGTTTAATATTAATAAGTTATAGATGTAGCATTGATTGAGCATTTAACAGCTTCAAAAAAAGATTCAAAAAATCTTAGCTACAAACTGTTAATCCTTTTGAAAGGAAAATTTTTTAAAAATATTTTCACCATTCTGCATTTGGACACTTGAATTAATGATCAAAATAGTGCAGTGCTTATCTGTAAACAAGCCTTCACCTATCCAACAACATTTTAGTCATAAGTTGTATCAACTAGTATCTGATTTGCAAATAGAGTGAAATTGTAACTATAACTAATTAAAACAACGAAGAACTAAATATATTTTCATTGATTTCATATGATCGAAAAGAGTTGGTTTATGAGGTATCCACAAAATGACATGATGCGATAAAGTGCAAAGACATGGGACTGGGTACGTACTCTTTTAATGGTCCAAAGGAGCCCTTTTTCTTTGATTTTGGTTGTACCTTAGTGTGACGTTTATCTTGATGAAAACCACTTCAATTAATTAGTTGAACAAATTCAAGTTCAGGAACACTCTTAATTTGTCTTGTCGACCCCCCACTAAAAATGTCTTATCTTGTTCACTTCGTGCTCATGATCACCAAGATAAATATTTGTATTCATAATATTGGAGTCCATCTACAAACCATGAAATATGGTTAATCAATTCAAGAAATAATTGTGATTTCAAACTTATGATCAAGGATATAGATCGACCAGCCAATTAAATTGACCATTTGGGTAATTGCTTTCCACAAAAACCACATTTCCCAAATTATTTAGGTAATAGTATTACTAAAAACTTATTTCAAGATTATAATCTCACTAAGAATATCAAGAAATTAATCGATGGAATACTTGTTTGAATATCACATATCTTAGCCTACATATGTCGGTAAATGATAAGGTAATGAGTAGGTACACAAATCCTACATCGGTTGTTGGTTATAGTACGTAACCTGATCCGGAATTATTATTTTTTTGGTTTGATGAGATGTGGGTTGAGAAGAGAAGACGATAACAAAAAATATTGTGGAATATCTAAAATTTCTAAAATTTGAAATTTAACACTAGTTACAATCATTGAGTGGGAGTCCTGAAGCTCCTATGACATTTTTTTTTTCCTTTTGAGCATTAATCTTGTGCAAAAAAAAAAAATACAAAAAAAAAATTACATGGTGCCCAAAAAAGACAAACTAAAATGACAAGTTTGCCAAAAGTTGTGTTTTCTCACTCAATGTACAATAATTATTTGTTGATTGATTTAACAAAGTATCAAATTACAGTTGAATTAATATTGCATCTAATAAAATAATTCTTGATAAACAATAGCTCATGAAGGAAGGATAAATTGAATATAAAGAAAATTACATAGTAAATAATGAATGTTTGCAGACATTTTACATGAAAAGAAGATAGACAAAAAACAAGAACAAAATTGAATCTTTGGTGACTATATTTAACAGTAATTATTAAAGTTGATGCAGAAACGAACAATGAAATGTTTCGAAAGATATAACTGTCCATGGGAAAATGAAGATCACTAGTAAAGATCATTACATAGCTGAACGGAAATGTAATAATTCTTACCAAAACAATGATTACAAAAACTGTTGCGTACTTCAAACAAAACAAAAACCACGCCCATGATGAAGAGTTTGTGTGCTATGACAAAGGCTTATAATGTTGTAGAAACTGAGTTTTTTGAATATTTATAAATTGCCACCCAAGAATCAAAAACAAAACAAATGCAAAACGGAAGATACTTTATTTTATTCTTTCTCGGGGGAAGCACTGTGAACATTGAAACAACATTGTTGATGATTAGTAGCTTTCAATCTTGTTCTTCTTCTTCTTCTTGTTCTTGTTTTTGTTATTCTTATGATTCTGCAATGCAAGAAATCCAATAAACAAAAATTAGTGCATGAGTGTGAGTGAATTCAAGGATGTATACAAGAAAAATAAATTAGACCTAAATTAGACTTTCGAAGCAATTTCTAAAGGGACTTTGTAACAAGACATTTCAATGTGCTCCAACCAAGTTCTGGGAGTGATCACTTGCTGAAATCAAGAAAAACAAAACCAAGACACAAAATCACGTGATTATACATCAAAGTAACGGAAAAATGAATCGAGTCAATGAATTAACAAACTTACATCAATGTTTCTTTCAAACCTAGTTGGCCTCATTAATGCTAGCTTCCTTTGGGGTCTTGGTCCAATTCTAAGAGCAAAGAGATCCTCTACAATCAGTGGCGGAACTGCTTAGGTGCTCGGGGAATACCTAGCCCCCCGATCAGCCGAAAAAAACCTTAGGATTAGTCATAGTTGACCTCGCACTATGTATGTCCGAGAAGCTAGTTCCGCCACTGTCTACAATCTCATGAGGAGTTAACTGTACATGAACCTTGAAATTCTAATTTTATCCGACTATTTGTTAAAGTTTGAACCCTATTGAAGATTAGGATGATTTGGCTTCCGATCCACATATTCCTAATTTTGGTATTCAAATTGATGGCATCCCCATCTTTTACTGGTTTATACTCCGCTTCATCCCTATTTCTCACAGCGACAATGTTTATCTTTTTGGCACATGTATCTTTATGAATGTCTTTTGACAATGGAGAACCGAAACTATTTACTATATCAATGATCCAACTCCCGGTCAACCACTTTGAATCTCAAATTTGTGGGTCCTTGAGTAAAAGTGCAACTAGTTCTCTTGAAAGCGTGGTGATGACATCATGAGATGTCTGCAACTGGGAAGAAGCTCCACTACATTTAGTGATTTTGATACACAAACTCGATGGTTTTCTTGCCGTAAAGGTGGAAGCATCCCTAAACAGTCGAGGTGACTTGAAAATCATGTTGATTGATTGGATAGTGGTTACTCTGGCTGGCTGGGATAATGGACGTTTCTCAAAAATGTTACTGCCAGGTTCAACAGAAGTTTCTATAGCTAATTGCATTCCTGTAATAGAGCCACATGCGGAATAATTTTGCTTTTGAATGTCTCGATTCATTCTTCCAATACCGAGTTCTCAAACTACTGGAGTTAACCTGCGTTGGAAGAAAAACAGGAAATTCGGATATCTAACTCTGTAAACAGCATCGCAACTCTAACCATAAGGACGAGTATGAGGATAAAGATGGTAATCTGGGCATCTCTGGAAATCAACTCGGATCTCACCAACATGGTATCAGGTAGTCTATTGTCTGGCTCCTTGTTCTTTCCCAATTGAGGTCATCAAGACCGGGTCGACAGGGAAAGTAATCCATATTTAAAACCTTTGTGTTAATTCCCTAACACCACCACAAACATGTTATTCGAATAATTTCCGGGTACAAATTATTTTCAGAAGAACTAGATAAGAATGAATTCCATATGAAAATCTAGCTACTGATCTAATTAACAAATGATCAAACATTAAAAATGGGAAAAGGAAAGATTAGTTTCACATGAAACTTCCCTATATCTATTTCTAAATATGCATATTTGAATTCACATGAGTAACATATCTAAGTCGATATAGATATGTGAAATAAAAAATGCGCCTCATCATTTGATCAATCGAATTTTGATCATAATATTATTCATTGGGAAAAGTATAAGTATACATATGCCTATATACATAGAAAATTTTCATACTTGTACCAAATTTTATGAGCTCAAAAACATACAGCTGATAGATGATTCGATGAGTTCAATTGAGTATCTTCCTGCTTAATTAGTTACAATAAACCCCCTTTAATTTGATCCATAATTTAGAATGTCTTAGAATGAAGGAAACCTAGGAAAATAAACAAAAAATAAAAAAAAACAAAATCAGAAAACAAGAGAAATTAGTGCACAAGGAAACTGAAATATTGTTTTTTTTTTAATTA